AAAAATAGATTAAGATATTTCTCATATCATGTAACGTAGTGTAATTTAAATATATTCATAAAATTAAATCAGTCAAAAAATGTAAAATGAAAATTTGTATCTATATTATTAAATACAAAAATAAAATTTTTATATCTTGTATGTAATATTACTCTTGTTCGATAATGCAGGGATTGATATTATTAATTATGTAGGGACTAATTATAGTAAAATCTTTTTCGCAAAATCTTAATTTTTTATCAAAAATTTTTTCCGTATATATAGTGTTTTTATTTAAAAGATGTTTATTTTTAAAATTTCAAGCAAATCGAAACATAGAAGTTTTCAAAATTATAGGAAATAATACTAAAACATTTCTTTCGAAATTTTGAGCCTTTACTTTTGAATAGCTAAAAATCTTTTTAAAAATCTAAAAATCAAAAAATTAGAATATTTTGAATTTTACGATTTATTGTTTGATAATATTTCGATATTCATAAATTATACAATATTCAACAATTATATTTTATTAAAATCAATAGTAATCAATAAGTAAATCAATAGTAACATTTATGCAATTATTTGATTATTTTTTTTATTGCAATATTACATAATTTATACTTTATATACTTTTTTTATTTTAAGATTTTTTGCTGTTACTATGTATTTAATTATTAATTTATATATAATATTTTTTTCAAGTCAAGCATTATTATCTAGAGTGATTTTAAAATTTTTATGCTATAAATCTTTATGATACATATGTAGATATGTATTTCGATTGGTAATGATAGCATACCGAAATGGTAATGATAGCATAATGAAGAGGTAATGAAAGCATAACGAAGTGGTAATGATAGTATAACGATGACGCTTTATTTAAAGATATTTATTGCTATATTAATTGCAATATTGAAGTGTAAAATAAGTGTATAATAAAAATCAAGAATTGTTCATTAATGTTTCATTAAAAAATAAAAATGTACAAATATTTTTGTTTATATACAATTAATTTTGAAAAAAAAAAGAAGGAAACAAATGATTATTTAAATAAAATTCTATCTTATTTACATTTAAATTCTATTGATTCTATTCTATGTTATAATTTATATTCGAGAAATTAATTATTTGAATATTTCTTACAGTTTTAATAAATGTTCTCTTTAATTCTTCAGATATTATTATATAACAATATTGGATAATTTGATATTGAGCGTTAGTGAGTTTTCAGTAAAAAAAAATATGCAGAATTATTTTTATTACAATAATAAAAGAAATTTTATTATATGTATCAATTTTATGATTGCAATATTTCAGTTTATTTCGTAAAATATCAGGAACAAAGATTGAAATATTATAATTCATAATTATTTCGATTAAATATTATTTTAATATTCTCGAGAAACATTGTTAAGAACAAAGCCAAGAGTTGTCAAGCAGTCAGAATTTTATTTTCACAACAGTTCGAATATTTTGAATAATCTAATAATAATTTACGAGCGAGTACAATTCGTACAATATTACTTTCCAAGTTCTCAATTTAAACACAAATATAGTAGCAATGGCCATTTGTCATACTTGTGCACCTTGCGACGGATCACTGTGACATGACTTGGCCATGCAAATTGCGAGAGTTCATCCTTCAAAACTGTCTTCCAATATGACTATTCAATAACTACAAATGGACGAAAGAAATATTTTATTTTTTATTTTTTTTTAATATGTTCAACGAAAAGAACTGGCTGCATAAACTTATAAATAAATGAGCAATGAGTCAATAATTGATAATACTCAAAAAGGGGATGATTCAAATCAAATCAACAAATAAATCAAAAATAGAATATATTTAAAAAAATTTTTTTTTTTATAAGATTTTTATAAGATTTCAAGAAAATCGACTTTAAATATTTACCGAATATATTGGATTATGTCTCAACCTATCTCTATAGCTCAGATTTGTTTATGACTTCACTATTTATTAATTTGAAACAGTTTATATAGAATTAATGTTACGATTTCTCATGTTTCGATAAATAACGTTAATAAAAGGACATTTTAAAGAATATACAACTGATGTACAAAGAAAAATTCTGAATATCATGAATATCATAAAAATGAAATCTCACAATATTTCGATAAAAAATAAAATAGCTTATATTAACAAAAAACATGATTAGATTAGAAAAAAAATAAATATGTTTGATACATCTCTAGGATGTAATGATAAAATATAAGTGGGTAATATGAATATTTGATTCACTTTATAAAATTAAAAATGGGAATAACTAATATTCTCTGAATCCAAAACATCTTAATCTAAAGAGATAGGTTATAAGGTCATTACAATACATTCAAAACAGTGATTTATGAATTATAATAAAATATTATCAGTGTATTCGAGTTTTTTTATTATTAAAATTTTTGCAATAAAAAATTCTTCAGTAGATTTTAACTTTTTTTCTGTACTTAGAATAATTTAATTTAAAAAAAAATACAAAATTAAATACATTATACATATATATATTTCTAAAGAATTAACCAAAATTTAAAAATATTTTTATACTATTTTTATATTATTAAGAATCAACAAATCAGTTTAATCTATTATTTTAATTTGATTAGAAAATTATATTTATATTTTCTCAAATTTATTCAAAACAAATTTAAAAAAAAAGTTGTTTTTTTTTAAAATAAAAATTATCGTTTAATATAAGATTTATCATTGTTTATATAATTAGAAAAAAGTTATAATTTTTTTTCAATTCATATTTTCACGTAAAATCTTAATAATTTTAATGACTATAATTTTACGGAGCAGAATGAAACAATTATTTTTTCTTTTATTACAAGTTTTTAAATACAAGCTTTGTTATATTACTTTATTTTATTCTACATAAATATGTACAAGAACTTCTTTCTATTGTGCAAGTGAAATTGCAAGCAACATTTTTCTTTGAAAAAAATTTTATGGCTTTGTAAACGAGTTATTAACAAAAAACATTATGAAGTGCGTTGCTTAACCAAGCCAATCGAGCATAAACAAGTCCAAATAATATATGTCAAAAAAAAAATATATCGATGAGAAATCAATCAAGTAATTTTCAAAGTCCAGTAGATTTTGTTTTTCACAACAAGATCTCGTATATTTGCCTTGTTGTTCCATAATGTGCGATAATCATGCTATTATATAACATGTACCAAAATGTACCAAAATTTCTATATTTTAAACACATCTTTCAAAAAATTTCATTAAGAAGAATAAATATATGAAAAAAAATATATATACTGTATATATTTTCACAATTATTTAACTATGGTTATTATATCTTTTTATATATATTTAAATTACATATTATATTCTGCATAATCTTATTCACTTGAAAAAATAAAAAAATAAAATTCGATAATCACATTAAAAATAGAAAGTTTTAATAAAGATATATCAAATAGTTCTTTTCTTTTTCTTCATTTCTTGCTTCAATATTATAAATTATCTTATCAAATAAGTGTTAAAAAAAGAAATAATTATGCAATATATCATATGTATTATATATCATATATTATATTATATTATATGTATTATGTATAATGAGATCTAAAAATTCTCGCGAAAATTATTACGGAACAAAATACAATAAATTGGTAATACAATAAATTTGTAATAAAAAAAGATATTTATTTATGTTAGTTTCATAATTATTGATAAGAATTTCATATAAAAAAAAATGAATTAAAAAAAAAACTTTTTTCTTTATTAATTACATTAACAATTGATGTAATTTTTTATCAAATGATAATAACTCACATTAAAAGAAACAGCTTTGAGAACTTTTTCTCTATTTTTTACAATTGACGAATTATAAAACAAAGTCGAAAAATAACTAAATTAATTTTCACGATTTAATTTTATATTCTTAGAATTTGAAGAGAAAGAGAGAAAAAAATTGCTTAATATATTATCATATTCAAATATGCACTACATCTCGATTGTTTCAAAATTGTTTAAAAAAATTTACGAGTAGAAGATTTTTGTTTATCTGTCATTGACGATTTTTGAATCAAGTTATAACAAATTATTCATTTATTCGTGCACATTGAAAAACAATGCTACGAAATTAAATAATTAAGATAAATTCGATACATCGAATGAATGTCTTATAATTAAACGTATATATATATATATATATATATATTATAATATATAATATA